GGAGGCATCTAGTATTATCCTCATGGGGGCATTGACTCCGTTATAGAACATTACCACTTGAGTCCAATCTTGAAAACCATGATTTGAACATTTGTAAAGCAATCCTTTATATCGATCCCACCATTCATACATTGATTCGTCATCAGCTTGATGAAAAGAAGCAATGTCGTTCCTCATTTGGGTGTTCATGTTCGGTGGATTATACCATAGCAAAAAACTTTTGCACATATCAGTCCAAGACTCAATTTAACCCACTGAAATGTCACTAAACCAAGCCTTTACTCGGTCACGCAAAGAATATGAAAATATCTTTAACTTTAATACATCTTCGTGCACTCCTTCTTGACGGAAAGAATCACACACCTCCAAGAAGTTACGAATATGTTGTTTGGCATCTTCATTTGTCATGCCCCCAAATTACCCTATGGAATTTTGCATATTGAACATGACAGGTTTGAACTCAAAATGGGTTGCCTGAATCTCGGGTGCCACAATTCCTGGATTTAAGTCGTCCAAGATAGGATTTAAGTGATCACGAATGAGATGAGGTCTGGATGCATTCCCATCATTTTAAATTACCTAGGCATTCTGATATTCCTCGTGACCAATACCTTGATTTCCAATTTGATACATGTTTGCACGTTGAGCATGTCTTCATTGCCTAAACAACCTCTCAATCTCATGTTCAATTGGATCTAATGGCTCGTCAGAGTGTCTTTTGGTCATACACCAACAAAAACCTGAAAAAGATAGGAAAAATAACAAGTAAAACTATATAAAAAATGAAAAAGTAAAATAAAAATGCTTTGAAAAAACTAATTAAGTTCCAGTTGCCAATCTCCGGCAACGGTACCAAAAACCTGTCCGCGAATTGTGACTACTAAATATGGTTACGAAAATATGTGCAAGTATACACAATCGAACAAGTAATACAATGATGGGTGAGTATTGTATCCACTGGGATTGGAGGAAATTTATAAGTTCAATCAAAGCAATTTACTATTTCAAGTAACTATAGTTAGTGATGTTATTTACAAATGATAATGATGTGGCAAGATGAAATGGATGTTGGTGGGAATGGAATGATGGTGTAATGGAAATGTCATGGCAAAGTGGATGTAAAAGTCTTGGAAAAATTAAATTGAGTGTAATGGAATCAATTGAAAATGTAAAGGCAAAACAAAATGTAAACATTGGATTTGATTATCTGGACTTTATACTCCTCACACAACAAGCTACTTTGGGAATGAATTATAGGAGTCACTTAGGAAACTTACGTTTACTTCTCAGGATGGTCTTAATTCTATGCCTTATCTTCCCGATAGAGTTTACTAATGGTGTCAGACGCTATCTCTAGTCAAGGGACTCGACGGGTTCAAGATGCCATGGCAAAACCTATTGGCGTTAGCAAGTGCAAGGATCCTATTTGTTTAGATAACAAGATATGTCATGACAATACCTTTTAACGGCAGCACTAATATCTAACCTCTCGACTGAGCACTACTCCTTTTAGTCGATTAAAATCCTAGCCTTATGTCTAAGGTTGGATTTGGCCTAGTTACTACCTATAACCCCATGCTTATATGGATCCTCCCTAGTTTCTCTCGAACACTAAGGACATGTTACTTAGTCATTCTCTTGAACGCTAAGCAATCTCCTAAGGAATGGCTACTCTCATAGCTCCTACAACCTTAAGGCATTAAACATCATAAATAAAACAAATAACATCATACAAAAAGAACCATCCATTAAAGTAAAACTTAAATATCCATAAGGAACTCCCACCAAATAAGACTAGTTTATGATGGGGTTCGAATATTCCAATCAACAAGGCATGAAATTAATCCATTCCATACAACCCAAATAAGATAAAAGAGAGCAAAAAGCAAAGAGAATGAGGAAAAACCTTCGACATACACTATTGGAGCTCCCCTCGGCCACCACAAATTATCCCATCTCGCTAGCTCCTCTCGGAAGCCTAGCTCACCACTCCCTCTAGCTTGTTAATAGAGGAATGCCACGGCAAAGACGAATGACAGAAAAGAGAGAGACATTTTTCTCTCTGAAAATAAGCTCAAGCCGGTATGTGTAAAGTCTCTTTCTCTTGGTGGCTTCCTCTCCTATTTATAGCGGAAAATAAACCTATGAATTTATGTTAAAATTCTTATGATACCCCGATCAGGCTCCTTTCACGTGAGGGGATGAGCAGTTGTGGCAGTGGTCCCCTCCAGGGCTGCTGGGCATGGACCATACAGGATCAGCTTGCAGCTGGGCATGGTTCTGACAGAATATGATGACCTAGGTGGCAGATGTCTCCTACCAGGTGAATGGCGGTTGAGGGCACGTGAAGACAACGACAGCTGGCTAATAAAAATATCATCTTTCATCCTTTCTGCTTCCAAAATGACATCCGATTTGGTATTTACATTATGCTCAGCAGTCTTATCATGTTACAATAATTCCCTTTTGCTTATCCTTGCTCCCAATTCCTGCACATCATTAAACAAAACACCTTCACCATAATGCGGCACCGTTTACAAAATGAAATGCCACGACAAAATATATTTCCACTACATGCGACTATATGCTCCTAAATGCATCTATATAATCCCATAGATAGTCAATAACCTAATTCAAAAGGCCCTAAATATGGCCTTTTTAAGGAGTTATCAGAGATCATCTCTTGAATTTTGTCTCTATTTATGAAAAAATTTCAATTGGATAGTCATCTGCAGATCCTCACCTTCATGTTATGCTTTGATGATTATGTAATGCAAAAAGGTTAAAGTTGACTAAAAATGAGAAAATTGAATTAGTACACGTCAAATAATTGATAAATATAAAAGTGTTATTTAAAGATGAATATAAATCCTACCCAGACATGCTTTCTACCCACATGCATTTATTTAGGTAGATAAAACCTAACCTCATGGTATCTCATTCACATATTTTATTTAAAAAATTTAATTTATTCTACCACTTTAAAGTAAAGAGAAAATATTAGAGTACGCTTCTTCTTCGTGTGTTCTTATTTTGGTACCTACTGACGGACAAAGGTTCGACATGGCTGTATCTAGGGTGACCATTCTACGGTTCACTATATGCATGGTTTCGACTTTAGGGGAAAGGGACTCGAATTGTCCTTGACATTGGTGCCCCATGGGCTGCCAAACCCTTGATCCTCACCCATTACAAGCTTTAAATGGACCGAGTTCAATTTGAGGGATCCACTTTCCTATACCCATACAAGGAAATAAAATCCCATGGAGACATAAGGCATGTATCCCACAGGTAAAATGCTATAGCTCATACGGGAAATAAATTCACCACGAAAGCATATCGTTCACCCTTACTTAATTGGAACAGAGCTCGGGTATAGAGCTTATGTCATGAAATGCATGTGGTGTGTGAGGGGAAGCATACGGACATTTAACCTAACGATAAACACACAAGTACTTTGAAATAATAATCGATGAATCTGAAAACAAAGAAATAAAACATTAGTACAATTATTGATAAATAATCCAAAATAAATTAATAAATATTGAACAATAAGGATCATAAGCTAATTAAGGATTACAACTTATAATTTTCACAACCACAACAACGTATAAGCAATTAATAGCCAGACTCTCTAAAAAATCTCTAGTGGAGTTGCCAAGCTTCCATAACCATTTTATATATATATTTAATTTAAAAATAATTATGATTTTATTTTGTAGAAATTGAGAATTTTGAAATTTGATTCAATTTAATTTAAATTTTGATAATTTGAATTGGACTAGCCATAGACCTTTAGGTTAGGTAGGTCAAATAGCTAAAAAACTATCCTTTAAAACAATTTTAAGAAAAAACATTTTTAAGACATCGCTTATATGTTGTTGTAATAGTGGAATTTGCAAGTTCGAGTCAAAAATTAAAATATGATTCTTTTTTATCCAACATTAATTAATTATTTTGAATCATAAAATTGTAAAAAAAATGGACTCGATTTATTTTAAGTTCACTTTTCATTTGAATCTCGAATTGAATCGCATCACTTCTAGCAAATATTGTTTTCCACACCCATTCTGCGATAAGTGTTCTTGAAAGGATTAAAAATACCATGGAAATAAGTAAAATATTAATAATAAAAGAATAATAATAAAACATGAAAACATATAAAATAATATATACATATGTATATACTTTTGATATATAAAGAATAGAAAACATATCTTATTAAAACATAACAAAAAATTTCAACGTTTTAATATATATATATATATATATATATATATATATATATATATATGTAATATGCGTAAAACATGAAAAGGATAACTACTATGTACATATGTACATATATACACATATTACTATTAAAAAAAGGTAACATAAGATCTATACATATAATATAGTACGAAAAAATATATATACATAAACATAATATAAAAATGTACACACACGTAGGCATATGATACTCTTCGATCATTCATGTCTCTGTCACCTGACATCTGTTATTGTCGAACTCGAAACCCAAAGCAAGGCACGTTTCTGTCTTTTATTGACGAAGGAGGCGCTACAACCAACCAAAATGCGGCTGATGATCAATCTTCATTAGTTTAAAGTGATGGTGTCCATGGTCCATAGGCCGATAATAGTTGGGGTGCTAAAAGTGTAGTTTATCCTATATATATATATATATATATATATAGCGTGTTCACAGAGACGCCGGGGATAAAGTATCTCGTCAGTTTAGCTGTTGAAGGTCTTAATATCGCAGAGGATGTTTAGCTGGTTGAGGAAGCCCCTGATTTGGTCTCTGAACTGGTGGAGGGGGACAGAAGCCCGATCAATGCTGAATAAAGTTAACCCTATCCTTTTTTTTAATTATTATTAAGTAGAGAGGAATTACTTTTACCCAAATGTTGGGATTGGAACTCACACACGATAGAACAACATGAACATCCTTTTATTCTCTTCACAATTCTTATGCATTGCTGTCTGAAATGTTATAATATACATTTACAATCGCCCTGCATATGAATATAAACAAAACACGACCCATCTCTGAAATCTTCATTTTTTTTTCTCTTTAATGGCAACGTGGGTAAATAAATGGCTGGCTTATATGATTAGAACAACAAATGTTTAAACCGGAGAAGGAAAAAGGAAGAATCTATAAGATCAATGGCAGATCTTCCTTTGAATCCCAAGGTTTGTACTAACTGCTGAATCCCTTAATTAATTAGCAGCAACCACGTTCTGGAGCAATAACTCCAAGTCACTCAATCTGCTTACAAAACCAGAATCCTAAGAATAAGAACAAAAGTTGGCAGGAAGATATATAAACAGCCAGAAATGAAATGGCGGCATACATACCTCACATTACTCAAATCTGGGTAAACTGCTATGGAATCTGTAAAATCCTGAATTGAAATAGAAAAGAACTCCGTTACTCGGTGAGCAAACCATTGAACAACAAATTGTCAGCCATGTTACTCAAACTAGGATTGTGAGTGTAGGTATTTGTGCTCAAGGGTATGTTCAATTTTTATCAAGTTTTTACGTGAAATCGGAAGGTATTGGAGAGGTATATCCCCATACCTGAGTTTGGATATGCATCAGACTAACACTTGAAGAAAAATGAAGAGTCGGAGTACCATAGGCTGTTAGTATTACTTCTACACCTTACCTGGTCAGCAGTCGAGGAAGTGTAGGTGATCACACATGACATCCCAGCTTTTGTTGCCGCCTGCACAGATGGAATAAGTTTGCTTTAAGCTTTAACCATGGTCAATAAGTTTGCCTGACAGATTTGACTATGATTAATGAACTTGAATCTTGCTAAGAACTGTATAGAATGTAACTCAAACTCAAGAAAATTTCTTTGAATATTTCTGATGAATTGAAGATAAACTGCAGGTTGCTCCAACTGCCAAACCAAATTCACAAGTCATTGATCTAAAATTAATGTGGTATCAATTTTCCAGAGAATGGTAGCTTTACCTGAAGACCAATCACACTATCCTCTACCACCAAGCAATCTTTCTCTGAAACACCTAATCTCTGCCATAATAAGATTTCTAAATCAGATTCTGATATAGCAACCAAAGACTGAAGATAACAAATACAAGCACAGATAACATTATGGATAAATGCACATGATATATAGAGTTGGCTAGTATGTTACCTTCGCAGCTGTCAGATATATCAATGGATCTGGCTTCTTCTCCTTCACATCATCGCCTAAAAGCATAAAGAAATGAGATTAAGAGGATTAGCTGTAGGGATCATCATAAAATAAAACAAAGACAAAAATGACATTAAAATGGACCACAAAAGCACAGGAACGAATCTTTCTTAAACTAACTGGAGGGACAAAAGATCAAAAGATAACCATTAAGGTTACTTCTTTATGTACAGGCAAAGTTTTGGAGTCTAATTCATTTAGAAGAATTTCATGAGCTTGTCTAGAAGAATTTCATGAGAGGGAACTCAATTCATTTAGAAGAACTGCATCTGAAATTTGGTTGATCATTTAAAAGAGAACTGAAGAATTCCCCTAGCGAGAATGCACCTAATTTATCTATCATGAAGCATATGCTGACTTCTGAAAGAACTAAATACATGTTTTGATTCACATAGGTCTAAAACACATCTAAAAACCAAACCAGATGATGTAGTACTCAACATACCGGCAAGGAAGCAATCAAGACCCCCGAATCGCTCCTATAATAATGGGGGGAAAAGAATATGGAAACAGAAGTGAGGATATTTGTTAATCAATGATTCATGGAATCAAAACTGTGGAGACCAGCACCGAACTTGCATTGTGCTGTTGTCTGCTTTGACCCAAAATTCTCACAGTTTTGTCTCACAAATGATGTCTTTTGTGGGAAAAAACTCTAAGATTCACTAGTCGAAGCAGACAATATCTTGCAACTTGTGTGCGGATCTCCACAAAAACATACCATTCCGATAAGGTTCCCAAGACAAAGTACTACTGAACTTTTAGTTGCTGCAGAGCAAACTGCTAGCATTTTCCCCTGTAGGAGTGGAGAAAGAAAATGGCATCAAAAAGAGCTGAATAAAAGAAATTCTGCAAGATCCAAAGCAGCCAAATATGAAGAAGTGGTTCAATGAGTTGACAAGAAAAGGGAAAACAGAAACAAAAGCCCGCATTGCTTCAATTGTGGAATGAATGAAAAAAATAAAGAACATGAGGATGGTTCTCAATGGAAATGATAAACAAGTATCTTACAGCAGCCTTGGCCTCATCCATCAATCTTAAAACTCCAGGTCTAGGTTCCACCTGATCAAAACAACTCCACCCTCTTTAGAATCAGAGAAATGAAGGGTGAAAAATAACCGCAATGCCATAAAGAGTAATTTCTACTTACAGTTCCAGATTTGATTATTTCTTTGTACCTTTCAGTCTTCCAGTCCTACAAAGATGTAACATCATCACATGCATGAGCTCTTGAATAAAGAGAATTCATAGAGAAAAAAAGGTAATTCCTAAACAAAGACCAGATTTAAGCCTAATTGGACCCCTGTTTCCCCCAACTTTATAAATTCACTTAATTCAAAAGGAAATAACAATCACCACTACATTTCATTGAGATAATACTGATAATAAGAGTTTATATTTAAATGTCGATTAATAAAAACTAAATATAATAATAATACCTGAAGAGTGTCAATTAACTTGGCTCGTTCCTCATCACTCTCAGGAGGCGTTTCAAATATGGTAGAAGATGGCCATCCATGCTCCTTGAAGTACCTTCAGAAACACCAAAAATCTTCATTAAACCCATCAGCAACCAAAGAAAAATTAAGACCAATAAAAGAAACCCAGAAACATGAACCATCTCATCTTGGGTTTGCCGCCACCAATCAGGTTCTGGAGCACATCATAGAAATCAATGTCCCAATTAAGGGGCTCTGAAGAGGGAGGGCAACACACATTGAAGTGGGCGAAAGCATCGTTGTAAGCTTGGCGGTGCAAGTGTTCAGATTCTAGAATGACACCATCGCAGTCAAAAATGAGAGCTTGAAGAGAATGGGAAGCTGAGACCGAGAGTCTTCTTGGCTTTGTGGTGGGGGTCGATAAAGAAAGTGAAGATAGCTTTTTGGTTTGGAAAGTGAGGAACTTTGGGGAGTAAAAAAAGAGGGATGAGAAGTTGGAGGATAGGTTTTGAGGATAGATAAAGAGCGTGGAGTGAGACGCCATGACCTCTTTGCTTCAGTGGTTGGTCTAAAATGGAGAGACCGAGTTTTCGAGCTAAAAAGATGGTGAAATTTGGCGGCTTTGGTTCGTGTGGCTGAGGATATCTCTAGAGTCTCCAGGCTACTTCTTAACGAATTTAACTGATACAGCTTTCAAACTCGTTTTTTATTAGTCAAAGGAAGTGCTCGGTAATTATCAAACTTACTCTCCTTTAGTTTATCCTAAACCATACCGGTTGAGTCCTCTGACTCCAATCACAAAGTGTTCGGTAATTGCTTCCTTCTCCTTCCCTCATAAGGTACATAATGGAGATTCTTTAAGTCTTCTTCTACACAGATTATGAGTAGTAGCTATAATATTACCAGTAGCCCTCCACAAAAAGATCCTTTTCTTTGTATATTCTCAGTAACATGAGAGCTTGGGGCCATTTTAATTTGAGATGTACATTCTTTTTCCTTCATGTAACCAACCCAGTTATGGTATAAACACCTTCATCATCAACATATCCTTTCATGCCCCACTCCCTATAGGCATATTATCAATCACTCTTATCTGCTCCTCTGATAAAAGAACCCCTATAGCCTCCAAATTCTACTCGCCTCTATCCTTATCCATTATTTCAGACTTTTAGAGGTAATTGCTCCTTCACCTACATCCAATTTAACACCTATCCAACTATCATTCCATATATTTATACCCCAGCCACTTGCCGTATAAGTTCTTTCTCCCCAAAAACTCTGTACGCTCAATCATGGATGAATTGTCCATGCTCGGGGTTAAGTCCTATAAGTTTCAAATTCACATATAATTTAAGTATTTTATTTGTATTTTCTGTTGATAATCTAATTTTACACCCTTAAATTTCTAATATAACTTCATAATATTGTAAACGAATATTTTGACTTCTAATCAGAGGTTTAGACCAAACTTTGGTGAAATTAGAACCCAATTCAGGACTAAATTGAATAAAGATAGCATGATAACTGAATGTACAAAGTGGTTGAATTATTTGGGAAAGTGCATGTAAATAGGGGGAGTTATGGAATAGTTTACCCATTCGAATAAAAAAACTGGCGTATTTTTTCTGACGAAAAACATAGTTATTTGACCTATTTTTATTTTTTGCCCCGATCTTTCTCAAATTTCTTTGATTTTTTTTTTATGTTTTCTTGATTGTTTCGTGAAATCCAAACATTGTAAAATCAATCCAAGTTTGTATTCCAAAAGTGGTCTTGACAAAATCACCTAAAATTTCGATTTTCATCAAAAATAAAAATCAATCCAAGTTAGTTTTTCCAAAAGTGGTCTTGACAAAATCACCTCAAATTTCGATTTTCATCATCTTTCTACGAAATTATTTTTTCTTGATTTTTCAATTTCAAACCGAGGAGAAAAATCTATTTCTTGATGTATTCCAAATAATTTGAAGATTTAAAATTTTATTTTCATCCATATTTTCAAATAGAGAAAATAACCACAGTGACCAAAAATCCCATATAATATACGATTTTAACCAACTTTTTTCGGATTTGCCAAAATGACCAACAAAATCGCAATGCGATCGCTAATTCGCAACGCGATCTCCATTATCGCAAATTCGCGTTGCATTTTCGCAATGCGATAGTTGAAAATCGCGTTGCGATGGTCTACAGTATCGTTGCGATTTTCCCAATTCGCAATGCGAATAAGTAAATCGCAACGCGAATTGGGAAAATCGCAATGCGAATAAGTAAATCGCAACGCGATACTGACTATCGCAATGCGATAATAAAAAATCGCAACGAGATACTTACTTTCGCAACGCGATACTGACTTTCGCAACGCGATAATACATAATCGCAATGCGATTTTCAAAGCGCCATTAGTATCCTGGCCAAGTATTTTATTTTTAAATTCCAAACATGAATATTAATATATTGGAACACTGAACTGTCCACAGTATATCCCGTAATCGCAACTCATAACCTAAAACCTAAAATCACAACTCAGTCCCATCTCCATCTCTCACTCTCTCACCCATCTCCGACGAAATCCGTCCCCATCTCCGGCGAAATCCGTCTATCTCCATCTCTCAGAGCCACCCTCACAATCAGAAATGGAAAATCAACCAAATCAACCAACGAGGGTTAGTTTTTTTAATTATTTTCTTTTTGAAATTTTTGCATTATTATTAGGTTTTTCATATTGAAATTGATGATAAGTTTACTGGTAATTTCAATAATAGATTAACCATTTCACTTAGATTGCTTATTAAATCAACCAAGAATCGCAACGCGAAATGCAAATCGCAACGCGATTTTAGTTTCGAGTTGCGATAGTCATTTTCGTGTTGCGATTTTCATTTTCAGAAACTATTCTTCTTCTGCAAATTGAAACTTGAATGAATTGCATTACTTCAACCAAAAAACAAAGACAAATACGAAATTCACAGTGTTGCATATTTAAGTAATTATTGTTTTTGGTATATCTTCACAGTGTAGTTTTTGGTATATCTAATTTAGTATGTTTATTGCTTTTGTAGAACTTTTATTCGGCTCAATTGACCTTGAGAAATAAAGTCAGCCTGGCCAAAACAATTGCGTCGAAGCTTTCACCTGCACAAAGAAAAATGTTTGAGGATACATGCTTCGGGCCATGGCTGAAAGTACAACATCCCGGTGGAGATGCGATGTTGACACACCTGTTTCTTCAAACCATGACTAGCGATCTACCAGAGAATATACAACGTCGTGATGAAGAGATATGGTTTGATTTTCCACCGGCGTATACGTGTTTTGGGCGGGAGGAGTTTTGCTTAATCACCGGTCTACGCTTCGGACACGATGATGTAGGTCGGTACACTAGACACATTACCCGCCCATCATGGCTATCCCGGGTTTTTCCTGAGCTGGAGAGGCCGAGTCTACACGTAGAAGACCTGACAAGATTTTTGAATAATAAAGATGGTTTTACTCGGATGGATGACGTCGACGTTGTCCGAGTATGCCTTCTAATTCTTTTGCATGCCGGCTTTTTAGGCAGAGAGGCCAGATAACCTATTCCAAATGATCTAATCAAATTGGTAGAAGACCTAAATGCGTGGAACCTGTTTCCGTGGGGCTCGTATTTATGGAAAGCTACATGGAATAAGTTATCGTCTGCCTTGGATGATTGAAAAAGTTTGCATGGCGATGGTTCCAAATACACTTTGACAGGCTTTATTTGGGCCTTTAAGGTAAGAATTTTTATATGATGTTTCCAAAATTATAAGTAATTATTTAACAATTACTAATGTTTGTTATTATATTGTTTGTAGATTTGGATATTTGAGGCCTTTCCCGCCATGAAGACATATGCAATAAAAACTTCAAATGATATTCCCAGGGCTATTTCCTAGAAGAGGAAACGGACCTTGCAATGGGAAGATTTACTACGGTATACGACAATAAATAATGTAAGTTAACATAAATACTACCATATGTTTATAAACAAGGTATTACTAGTACACATTTAACTTTGTTTGAGCTTTTATATTGTTAGGAGGCCAACACTCCTCTACAGAGGCTGACACCCACGGAAGCTGAGCTTGCCACTGATTGGTGGCAAGCTAGTAAGCGTTTTTTTGATGGAACGGTTGATGAGCAGCCTCCACTTCGGGAGCCATCACCTCGCCCAGAGCTATCACCTCACCCAGAGCCATCATCTGATCGACCCGGCTATACACCTCCACAACGACAGCCATCACCTATTATGTCACATCATCGAGCCTCTTCTCCACCATCACCGCAAGATAGGCGACCGGCAAAGATGCCACGACGTTTATCTCCCTGTTCTCCACCTCCACCTCAACGGGATGAGTTAGGGGAGTTACGTGATGAGGCCAATGCCTTGCGTGAGGAGTTCGGTACTTTAAGCAAAGACGATGGTGCATGGCGCGTTGAGGTGTCTACATTACGCGGTGAGGTAGCCGCTCTACGTGAGATGGTAGCATCGTTGCAGAATGAGGTTCATACTCTACGCAACGAGGTAAGTTTAAGATTTTTCATACTCGTAATTCATTCGGTTGCTGCCAATACTGCTAAACTGTTTTTGTTAGTATTTGTTTTTGGTTTTGTTTTTGTCTTTTGGTTGGAGTAATGCAATCCATTCAAGTTTCAATTTGCAGAAGAAGAATAGTTTACTTTCGCAACACGAAAATGACTATCGCAACGCGGAAATGGCTATCGCAATGCGAAATGAAAATCGCAACGACAAAATCGCAATGCGAAATGAAATCGCAACGCAAAATGAAAATCGCAATGCGATTTGTGTTTCGCGTTGCGATTTCATTTCGCGTTGCAATTTTGTCGTTGCGATTTTCATTTCGCATTGCGATAGCCATTTCCGCGTTGCGATAGTCATTTCGCGTTGCGATTTTAAGTTTCGTGTTGCGAAAGTAAACTATTCTTCTTCTGGAATGTTTATATATGTTGTCCTTTTAAATGTTTATATAAGTGCTTACTTCTGGAATGTTATCTGAGCATTTTGTGAACTATGATAGAATAATGATTTGGGTGAATACAATGCTAGTTTGAAACATATTTGTCTTTGTTTAATATCATGTCTGTTTATTTACTGATTTATGTATTAATTTTTTTTAGCGGCCCGGTAAGGTGGATGCTTTACGTCGGGTTTTCCTTGCACGACGGAGTTCACGCATCAGACGGCGTGGACGTGCTATTACGTCTCCGTTCACCCCAATAGTGCGAAGACTCTGCAAGAAGAAGCCCGACTCACCGGTCATCCCTCAAGAGTCCCCTCCAATCGTTCAAGAGGCCCCTATTCTCCCTCAAGATTCCCCCCCCCACCGTTCAAGAGGCCACTGTCATCGTTGAAGAGGTCCCTCCCACCATTCCAGAGCCCGATTCACATGGGGTAATATATCGAAGTATTGAGAAACCCCCACCGGTTCTGGACATGATGGATGAGAGTTGGCTCTCGTATGAGTTACCGGCTAGTACCCTTCCGGTATCTGAAGTGGAGAGGAGACAACTACCGGAAACAATTGTGGATAATACCCTTTGGGCTAAGACCGCAGTTGATTTTTATCTACATGAGCGGA